GGCCAGTTTGGGTCAGCTGTCCTGGCTGTGCCCCCTCCCAGCTTCTTGTGCACCTCCAGCCTTCTCAGTCAGTAGAGCATGGGAAGCTGAAAAGTCCTTGACTAGTGTAAGCACTGCTTAGCAACAACTAAAACATCGGTGTGTTATCAACATTATTCTCATCCTAAATCCAAAACACAGCACTGTACCAGCTCCTAGGAAGGAAATTAACTCTATCCCAGCCGAAACCAGGACATAGGTTTTGCTGGCATTTTGCCTTCCAAGTGATTCTTACTTTGCCTACCTATTAAAAATCCTTGACCTGTCCCTCTGTGGTTAGCAAAATCCATGGGAGTCAGTGATCTCTTCTGAGGTGTGTCTGTCTGTAAAAAGGAAAGACATACTATTAGCTAGTATGGTACGCTTATCTGCTGAAATGGTTTGATTACAGTTTTTACGATCTAGTCCAGCAGAGTAAGTCCTACCAAACTGCAAAGCTCCAAGCAGTACTAAAACTGCACACTTCCAGTGCATAGACAACCTTAAAGGAACTGTTTGATGCATTAGACTTGGGAAAAAAAAAAAAATCTCGTTCTCATACACTAGTTCTGCTTTTCAAGCTCCCACACCCTCCCAAAGCCTTTTAACGTCCTCTTCGCTACAGGTAGCAGGAATCCCTGTACACCAGAAATCAGGAGACACCCAGTAAATGAGACCTTCTGTAGACCAACAGTGGGCATGAACGGAAGCTTCTTCAGTTTTCCATGTCTCTATACTTACATTGTAACATACCCTGAATGTATGAGTTGTGTTGGGCCTTGAAAATTGATCAATAATAACAGTTCTTTCTCTGAGTGGCCGTTGCTCTGTACTGCCAGGCACTGCACTTGACACTCTGCTATAAGCATATCGTCCTTGATGCTGAGAGAATTAAAAAGAGCATTGAGAGAATGCAGCAATGGAATTGGTTAAAATAATAATTTTTCTGTTGCCATACAAAAAAACACAAGAGAAGAAGAAAAGAAAAATATGTTTTCACTAACCAAAAGCACCAATTTAACGTAACTTAAGGGTACTCGTGTCTTTCAAAGAGATTTGAGACTGTTCCCTAATATGAGTCTATAAACCCCAAAGGCTTATATTAATTAAAATAATAATAATAGACTTTACATGTGTCTCAATTCAAAATATTATTCAGAAGCAAAATAATATCAAAATGTCAATTTACTTTCATTGTGATTTATTACTTCCGTATCCTTCAAAAATAGGCCAGTATCAATAAGATTTATCTTTTTTTTCAGTCAGTATCCTTTCCTACTTCAGTCAGCATAATTTTCTACCTCCTATAACCCTAACATTAGTGAATAAAACACTGAAAAGAGCTATTTAAATCCAGATGCATATAAGTGCAAGGTTACCATCTGGTTGGTTGGTTGTTTTTCTCTTTTTTTTTTTTAAAAAGAAAAAACAGATTTTTCTGTTTTCAGAAGAAAGTCTTACCATTATGATCTGTTTGTGACCTGAGGTTTTAAACTGGCTTCTCTTGCATGCTAATGGTACCCCAATGTAGCACACAATAGCGTGTTAAGACCATGTATTAAATACGAACCAACACGAACTGTAAAATTGCTCATTTCAACCAGTGACACAGACCAACTTACTTCCAAATAGCTTGAAGTTCTTCACCAGTACAAAAATGAACACAACTTACAGAGCTCTGTTGCAATCGAGGTACTGCAAGATACCGTTCAACAGCCTCTGAGTTTATTGGTGGTAACTTGTTCCGGGTTGTAGGTGCACGAGCAGAAGATAAACGATCCGAGCTGGCACCCCTACAGAATTTTAAGGGTTCCTCTTTTAGGAAAAATCATATTAGAGACTTCTTCACTGAAGTAATATGAAATTATTGAGCAGTACATTTCTCTATAGAGCTCAGCTACAGAAAGTAACAGCACCTAATATAGCAACAAAAAAATAAACGCCTCTCTCCAAAAAAACACGGTTCTGCTTGCTTTCTTTTTCTCTCTGAATTCTAGAATCAATAATGAATCTCAGGTTAGTTCTCAAGTATTTTGCAAAATCCTTCACTGGTGAAATTTCAGTAAAGTTCTGAGGAAAGCAAAGAATAAAATGAAAAAACTCACAATTTAGTCCCCCTAAGGATTTCATCATTGTACATATTAGGAGCTTTTGAGGAGAGTTGGTCAGAAGTGAGAGAAGGTAACCTACGATGGCTTGGTAGCTTCCTAGAAGATGCCAGCAGTACCCGAGATGATGAGAGAACACTGTTATCAGCAATTCTCCCCAACCTAGCGTGCACTGAATTTGGAGCACTGGAGCCAATGCTATGCTGTTTGTCTTCTTGCTCGTTCCTAGGGAAAAAGGAAGGAGAACAAGATAGGGAATAAGGATGAAGAAAAAAAAAAGTAAAAGGATTTCTTAACAGAGTATCATTGTAACCTCTACAAATCATTGTCACATCAGTGATACACACAAAGGAGATGACTGCCTTCTTACTGCCTTTTTATAATTGTGAAACATCTTTTACATAATATGCATTATGCCGCACTTTGAAAACGTCAATACAAACACATACTGTATTTTTTCTACTGTGGCAGCATGCCTCTGTTGGAGTGGTTTTGCTTGAATTGTCATCACACCATTCAAATCACTACAGAAGTTGCTGGAGAAACGGTGAACCTAGTAAAAGCAACAAATATGCATTAACCTTTACTTTTTCTGAAGTAAGGCCTCAGAAAGCTCGTTGTTAGGAGAGATTTTACTTGTTTCTTAGAAAAGTTTCTGTTAAGATGGTTCAGTAGAATTCTCAGTAGTAGCTGAGGCAAATATGTTGTTTTGCTTATTTTAAACAGTCTTACAAACAGAACTTGGGTAATTTAGTTACTGAATTGCAACTCAATTTGCAATACAAATTTCAGTTGAAGCCGGAGTTCGATTCTCCACAGTTTCCATTTTCCCTCAGCACAGTCCAGCCCAGGGCACAGATCCTGAGCATTACTTATCTAAGCATTTTACTTCTTCTGGCTGCTGGGACCACAACAGAACCAAGTGTGCCAGCAGGAAGCACCAAGACTGCTGTGCTCTCTCTTCTGTGTTTCTTATCTCTCTACCTTGCAAGCATGGAAAAAGAGCAGACAAAATAGAATGAAGTTGCTTGAACTGAATAGAGAGAGACAGGGTGGGGGGAACAGAAGCAGTGGCCGGAAAAGAAAAAATGTGCAAAACAGGACCCAGGGGACAGAGGGAGGAGGCAGCAAGTGGGACAAAAAAGGGCATTTTATCAATGGAAACACAAGCTTCCACAAAGACAGGTAAGGCCTAGTGCCAGCGTGCTGGTGGACATACAGCAGAGTCCCCTTTTACAAGAGGCAAAAGAAATGAAAAGGAATGAGAGTCTGAAACTCACAGGGTTGCAAGTAAAGCACTTTAAGTTGCAACTTCACATTCCTGAAGTCCTGGGAAGAGCCTCATTTGTTTTCTTAATTCTACCAAGAGGAAATGACTGGACCACAATAAAAGCAGAATTATTTTCTAAGGACGGAATACAGTCTAACAACTGTTGGCTTTTGTAAGCCAACTTCAGCAATATCTTAGCAGTAAACGGCGCCTTTAAGAACCACCAAAGAAGAACAAGTGATAGTAAACAAGAAATGCACATTAAATGAACCTTCATTTTAAATGAGATTACTTATTTTAAGTATATCTAATTGTGTTTGTTTTTTTTAAAGAAAAAAAGAAAAAAGAAAAAAAAAGAAAAAAGAAAAAAAAAGAAAAAAAGAAAAAAAAGGCCTTTTCTAGCTTCAACCAGGACTCTGTCCAAAGTTAGCAGAAAAAAGAACACCATTTGACAGAAAGTTATTTTTACCTGCGAGGAAACAAAATGAGACCCAAAAGATACACTTCGTGCTTCAGAGCCTCTGGAAAGCAGAACGCCCCCAGCATCTGCTGGAATACGAACAACTGGCAAATGTGGCAGTTTTGCTGTAACAGCTTTCAGTTTTTCCACTTGTTTGTCACCTTCTGCAACAGCAGCAAAAAAAAGTACAGGAAATAACTTGCTTTTTGTACATTTACAAGCCATCATTTGTTGAGATTCAAACAATATTACACTGCACAGTAAAGACTTTCGTATAGTTTTAAGTTTACATGCTATTTAAAATCTACCATAAATTATGTTTTTCTGAAAGCATTTCCCATTTGTTTACGCTTTCTCTGACATTGACAAATAAGTTGGTCTATACAAGTAGACCAACTTGGAGGGGGTTTTTGTTTAAGAAAATACTGCTAAGACTCTTGGAATGTTATTCAAAATTTCCCAAAGATTTTTTTTTAAAGCAGAAGAAAATAGATTAAAAGAAAAATAAAAAGTCTATTATCTTATCCTTGTCTGACAGCAGCTACACGCTGCTTCATTCTGGGTATACACCACCATCTTATTTCTATTATAAACCCAAATTCTTTTACATTCCTACTCAAAATACTTCGGTTAGCTACCTATTTGTCATATGATGATGCCCTTCACAAAGATAAAAGAGCACGCCTATCACAAAACTGCTAAGCTATCTTCCCTAAACTATAATATTGAGCTAAACAATCCACCTGTGCTGTAAAAAGCCCTTTTATATTTCAGTAACACCTGAAATGTTAAGTTCTGATGCTGCAAGTATTCTGAGAAATTCTGCCGTTTCTTACTTTGCTGTAGACTTATATTTGAGGTTGAGTGTACCTTACATTTGAGGTGATTTCCAAAACCCACCCCCAGGTATTATTCTGTTACTGTCCTTTTAAAAAACACTAAAAGAAGAACAGAAATTTCCCTCAGCCTCCAAAGACAACATATGCACACTAAATAGAATTTCACTTCTAGTTAATTTTCCTAGCTTTTGCTTTTCCTCACTACAGTCTGTTAGAATACAAAAACATAAAATAAAATAAAATTGCATGCATCGCCATTTCTTCATCCTATATTAAACTCATGGACTCCTGCACTGTCAGCAAGGCTGTCTATCTCCTTTAACAATCTGACTACCTAAGGGTTCTTTGTATTAACAAAGCTCAAACAATGAGGACTAGGAGACTTTGATTCCTAGGTTCCAGATTCAGATCACATCATCAGTGATCCAGAGATTCCTTTTTTCCTTCGGGTTTTTTTGGGGTTTCTTTTGTTGGTTTCTTTTTTTTTTTTTAATTACACCTCTCATCCAACCGCCCCCTGAAAAATAGTAGGAATGTTTATATTTTAGATCTGGGGGGGTTGTACGCACGCATGCGCGTGGCGAGGCATTACATAACTTATAATGCTGTACTACCACCATGGCTATCTTAAAATAACCAGACTTCCCAAGCTTTAAGGGGGGGGGCAAAAAAAAAAAAAAAATCACTTTCCTGAGTTAGATTCAATAAATACCATATCTAAAAATACCACATACCTGTTATACTAGTTTCCCAATTTTTTTTAATCAGTTCCTCCAATATTCCAATTACATTGTTCCAGATACGATCAAATACTTCAGAAACCACGGCATCTTTGATACAGGCATTGGGAGAAACAGGGGGAATGCCACGCTTACTCCTCTTCTCAGCAAGACGCATTTTCTTTTGTTCCCAACTCTCATCATCACTAATAAAGGAAGAAAATTTAAATGAATTCCCATGGGTTTTGACTTTCTTTTCCCCTTCTAATATACCAATAGAAACATACATATGGAAGCAAGTCAGATGTAGATCACAAAAAAAATTCAGATTCAAACGCACAGAGTACCTATGGGAACAGAACCTATCAAACACATACAATGATTTCTTTTTCTTTTGCTTGCAGGTAAAAAATTAAAAAATCCAGTCAGGGCATTACAACAGAAAGATCTGCAGCTCTGCAAGGAACAGCTTTATATGTGGCACTTAAGTCATTTGAGACTAAATTCTATGCTTTTTACCATAACATAAGGGAGCTATTGTCTGTTGCATTTGGCAGGAGGACTATCACATAGAACATTTCTTTTATATCACGTCCTGTGTACCTGCACACATCTGCAACACTTCACCACTAATCAAAGACAAACAACTTAAAAGATTTCTGCAGCCTGACAAGAATAACAGAGCCCATAGCCTTATGCTCACCTCCTTCCCTTCCACTACTGTGTGGACAGTTACTTTTTTATTTAGTTTTTTTTCCCCTCCCTCCCTTCCTACCTAGGGAAGCACAGTGTAGCAACATTTCCTAACTTGGTCTTCTAATACACTTCTTAGGAAGAAAGTTTTAACCTTTTTTTTTTAATGCCATAGTATTTCCTTCTAAGGAAATGCAATTTCTTTGAGATTTCAAGGATGATCCCAAATTCATTCTGATTTCTACTATCTCCCTTTCTCTTCTCAGTCACTTCTTTTACTTCTTCCTCAAACGGGATGGCAAACTTCTTAACTATAACTAAGACTTGGCTGAATGGTCCAACTCTCAAAATGACCAAGCTATTTTCGTATCAGGCTTTGTAACTCCTAATATTTTAGTTATGGAGAATAAGGTATTTCAGAATCGAATCCTGGGAAGGAAACAAGAAACAACATATCAAGGAGGCACAAAGGACAGCACGTTCAGTCAAGTCCTTCTCCCAAATTAAGTTTGCTTACTTAGCAAAACAAAGTGATACTTCACTCCTAAAAGGATTCTTAATCCTAAATCCTTTCCAAAACGGTAGGCACTCAGGCCCTCTCTTTCAAAAACAGGACTGAAAGGGTCTACCTGGGTCTCAGTCTGATTTCTCAGTTTTTCAGAACAACCATGTCTTTCTCCTGTAAACGCATCAAGCTTTAGCACAAAAAGTTATGCTTTGCGCCCTACTAGTCCTACAAGACTTTCCCCCTCATAGAGGCCTTTTAGAAAACAGCATGTTATGGTCTTTATTCTACCCAGTAGCCTAGTTGCTGGAACGCTCAACTGGGCCACAGGAAACCTAAGCTGCATTGTCAAGAAGACAGTTGCATTACTCCTGTCACTCACATGAGTGCTCTAAATGCAGGTTGTATCCTGCACCTCTCCTCTCAAAGCTGTTATACACTGCACAAAAAGAATTTAAGATTCATTAGGGCAGACAATGAGAGCACGTACAGTGTAATGACCCTAAACAACATGGTGGTCAAGGCACTCACCTGGGAGGTAGGGATTCCTTCATTCCACTCCCTGTCTTAAAATTAAATATTCATTCTATCGAATCTTCACACACAAAACACCTCAAAGCAACTAGTGGTTAAGATACATTCCTCTGACACGGGAGATGTGAGTTTTGAACCACTAGAAAGACAATATACCTAATCTTCCACATGCCCAGTGAGTGCTCTGACCACTGTGCTACTGAATACAGAGACAGAAGGAACTGTATTTTACAGAAGAGAAACACAGTTTATGAGCCCTGACTGGGCTCACTGATAATTTTTCATTATTTTCTTCAAAAATACATATATCTTATTTACAGCTCCTTGTTGTCAAAGGCAAGATATTCTTCTATTTTTCCATCCACATCATAGATTTCTTCTTCCAGGAATGAATACATGGATGAGGCAGAGGCAGAAATCCTAGTGGACCTTGAATCTAGTGATTTATGTACTGGAGATGCTGTTGGGATCAGTTTAGAGCCAGAAATGAAGAGCCTGAAAAAATATCAACAAAATGAGAATTAAATATTCAAAGAAAGAAGAAAGGGCATATTTAATTATACTGAAATGTTTCAGTAACACAAAAGTAATATTTGTACATATTTCTGAAAAGGGAAGACCAAAACGAAAACTTAAAAAAATTAACCTACTCTTTTATATTACTAGTACATTCACGGAGGCCAGGTAAACACTTAGTATCCACAGAGGTATCACTTCTGCTCTGAAAATGCTGAAAGCCTTCATCCTTTGGCAATAGGAGCTGCTTTCCTAGAACCCTGAATAAAATGGAGAGAATGAGTGACATCTTAGATGGAAATCCACTCCATATGCAAATACCAAGAATACAAATACCTGCAAACAGTAGGCAATGTGAAAGCACACCTTACATTTGCTTTGGAAAAGCAATTTATGGAGATGCAAGGGCCTTGTGTAATACATTAACATTGCCTAGTATTTAAGTCATTAAAGTTAAGGTGATTTACACAAGATGACATTCTAGCTTATAATTTTTAAGAGCACATAGTCAAACTTGTTAGATTGTTCTAAAGGCTGATAAAGTAAACACACTTCCTTTCTTATCAAAAATCCGTAAGAAATGTTTAAAAACGGGTGCAGAAGACAAATAACATCTGCTATGATTTCACTTATCCAACTCCAGTATCCATCAATGTGAGCAGAAGTCCTAATCCAAACTGTTTACATGGATAATTAAGACTAGAATTCACTTTCAGAAAATGCACAAAACTGCTTACTGAACTGTGTTTCACCGGAATTCACAAGGCATCTCAAAAGAATTTGCCAGTCGCAACCGTAGTGCAAGAAGCAATGTTCAGACTCACCTGAACACATTTTCTTGAGACTACCTTTCACAAAACAGCATTTTATGCCACGTGAAGCTCTAAGCAATAGCCTTTTTTACTTTTTATTTTGTAAGCCAGGAACAAAAAGCTTTCTCTTTAAATAGATCTCATGTTTCTCTTGTTAATGACAGTTCTCAAGTATATGTATTCCCACATGCTGAGCTAAGCATTCATATATTGACACAGCTGTCTTACAAATTGAAAAAAAGGACAGCCAGCGAGCTCTTTGAAGCACAACTCTCAGAAACAAATCTGGCATCCCAGAAGCTATTCTTCTGAGTAACTAGTCAACGCAAATTGAGTTTTAAGATTTAAGCTTAATAATGAAATAACTTTTTTTTTTTCTTTTTAAACCACAGGATGTACCACATATCCCTTAGTACCAAATGACACAGAGCTCCCAGATTTCTTCAGTTCGCTTTCAACCTCCTGGACGTGGTTGGTATTGCCAGCATTAGCTCTGAATCAGAAGTACAGGGAATCACTTACTTAAAAAAATTCCACCTAGTGAAAATACTCTGAAAATATAGGGAAATTACTTAATATTTTGAATTAATTACACAGCACAAAAACCCGTCTCCCTTTTATGCATGTTCTATTAATTTTTACAGTATCTAAAAAAAGGCAAGGCATGCCTTAATGCTAGTGAAATTTGTCTGTTTTAACAATCCTCTCTTGTTCCTGACAAAGCGTGACAAACTTTGTTAGTTGATTTTAGTTTACATTTACTAGTAACAAGCCTCTGTAAATTATCTAAAAGCATTGAAAGCATACCACAGTTATTGACAGTGTTCTTTTTAATGGTGTTAACAAACTATTGACTAGAAGACAGACACATGCAGGTCTATGTGTAGAATAGCTTAGAGCCATGACATCTCACTAAGAATGACATGCCATCGTTCATGAAGGCAGGACAGTACAACGCAGCGCAACACCGACTTCTGTCCCCTGTGTTATAGGAAGCAGTCATCAGGCTGTCTAGACATTTTGCACATCTATGCAAAACAATTCTCATTAACCATGTATGCATCCTCACATCTGTTCAACTAGTTATTGTCGGGTTAATATCACACATTGTTTTACATTGATTTATATAGCCTAGGAAGACATTATGGCTGTGCAGTGTATGTGAAGCATGTGGTCGCCTGCATTTTTCATTTCTTTTTAGAAGTATCAGTAACAGAATTAACACTGAATTTCTTGGAATTTCACAGTATGCTTTCACTTACAGTAAAAAAAAAATATTTCTTTACAAGATGTATTCTTTATTTAGAAAAGGTCATTATGAAAATGATGCATTATTATTTTCGTATTACATCCGGCTAAAATATCTTTTGTCTGCAATCATTGTATTAAGCAAAATAAAGAGCATTAGCTGCTAGTGCACCACCACCCAGACTTACTGCATAACTATGGCACAGCTCAGTCCCCAAGATCTAGATTTGAATGCAAAGCTGTTACTGATGCCATACATCAAGAGCAATTCATACAAGGGTACCCCAAAAATTCAAATTAGAGTGATAACTCATTAAAACAAGTACCAGCAAGAAATTTCCTTACCTTAGATGAGGAAATCGTTCAACCCAGTCTGCACATTCTGCCTGCAGGCTCTGAGTTTGGGAGGTGACTTTTCCTTCAAACAGCATTTCATCAATCTCCCAAAATAACTGATGCACTCTCTGTGTGTTGGCTTTATCAAATTCCTATATATTATAAAATTAATAGTTGTTAGCAAATATGTGTACATATTCATATTAAAAACCCCACAATATTTAAAGAACAGGACAACTTGGACAGATTTGGCTGAGCATCTCAGAATGAATCTTCAGAGTACCTACTTTGGAGACACAATTTATATGCTGCTGTGCAAAAAAAAACCCCAGGTAGCTGGCCTGAGCAAGGTGATTTAGAGCAAAAAGGACCTAGCTGTCCAGGATTAGCCAACAGAAAACATCAGTTATAAGGTGTCTGGACTCCTGGCTCCCTCCCTGCTCCAACATGGAGTGAAGCATGCACATTGCACCTCTGCGACCCACAGCACCAAAGCTCCCTGCTCTTTTGAGCAGTGCTTTTCCTTTCTGAGTAAAATGGCTAAGAGGGCCAAGAGGGGGCACCTTCCTTCTGCATGACACAGTCCGGTGGTTAGGAAGCAACCCTCAGCGTGAGAAGTGGTCTTCCACACCTCTTCACTGAAGCTACAACACAGTGCAACCAGAAATGGGCGAGTGCAAGGGCATATGAAGGTAGCAGGGAAGAGCCTGACTTTATCCAGTGGCATGGAAACGAGCATTTAGCTGAGGGTTCCTCAGCTGGGACACTGTTCATAATGATATTTGGCCACTTACATTAGACACTTTGAAACACAGAAAAAAGTGATAATACTCAGGGCCCAAATCACATCTGTTCACTTCCAGCTGAGTGCTCCAACCACTTCAGGCTACAGAATGGATCACACCGAAAAGGAATGGGAAAATAACTCTCACTCAGGTTATTGTATGATCCAGGGTCAGGCTTCCTCCTGGAGGGCTGGAAGCGACAGATGGGGTCAGTACCCTAAAGGTTAGGATATTATGCAAAAGGTATGGCAGAACTACCACTACCAGCCATGGATGGCTTTTTTAAATGAAAGTGGCAGTGACTGCGATGCTTTTGGATTTATGCAACGCTGCCAGCCTGCACCAGGCATGCCTCGGAGGTCAGTCTCCCTAACAGGCTTAACCTCGCTCTGCATCATCTACGAAACAGAACTGAGCTTAGGTAAGAGCTAAATATTTACTCAGGCTGGGACATTTATATGCATGCTCATGAATGTACTTTGACTCAAAACATTGAGAATAGTTCAATTTAGACACTGCCTGCATTATGCAGTCTTTGCAAACACATATTTTATTACTCTCTTAGACTCAGAAACCTAAGCCTACCTTCTTTGGTAAAACAGGTTTGTTTTCCCCAAAATGTCATAATTTCATGTTTTTATTCCATTTTTCTTTGTTACACATCAGCTGCACTGATATCAACTTGCAAACAGAACTATTTTTTAAATATTCAATTAATATACTTAATCATTAGGCTATAATGAATGAAAGTGGTTAAGTTCTCCTACAGGACATGTGCTGCATGTCCATTTTCTGTAAAAATTCATCTATTCTACAATATTTAGATAAAGTATACTGTAAAAGTTTCTGTGACATACATCATCCCTCCAGGAGTAAACTGAACTTCTTTCAGTAGACAAACCAGTAGTATAGCTGTTTATTCCAGACCAAGAATTATTCAACTCTGTGGGTGTTGTAGGACCACTAGATGAAAGCGACGAAAGCATTTCACTGTGGAAAGAAGACAAATTAAAATGAAGAACACAATGGTTTTCTGTATAAACATTTTAAAAATAACGCAACTGATCACATAAATGGACAGTGATACATATTCCTGTCAGGTGCAAGATTTTCAGGACATGCTGTTAGAGTCGATGTGAAGAGTTGCAAGTGTATGTTTTTAAGTAGAGTGCAATGAGTACATGCTCCTATTTGTACCATTTACTGCCTTAAAGGCAATTCCTTCTACAGCATTACACTTCTATATATCATTGCAACTGTAAGGGCACTCTAGAATATATCCACATATATATACACACACACCCCCCCAAGCATTTCCACCTCTAACAATTATTTTGATTTCTCCAGTTCAGCTAATGGGCACATCAAAACTATACATTAAAAGGTAACATAAGCCTTCTTTAACTCTTTTAGAAGCTACCACAGGAAAATTCTGCAAAACTGAGCATAACATCTCTACAAATGTTTCAAATAGCATTGAGTTACACATCTGTACACAACGTCTTTTAGGCTGTTAGACCTGGTGCACTTTAAACCTTGAGGTCTGGGATTCCAGCTCTCAGAAAGCTCTAGCCCAGCCAGCCGCCATCACCCTGGGATGCAGTGAAAGCAAGGGAAGTCAGATATGCAGGCCAGGCAAATCCTAACCAGTGCCAACTGGAATGAAACTTCTTGAAAGTTAACTGACCTGCAACATCGGTGAGCATTATCTGCGTTTAACCATGAAGCCTGACTTCCCTTCTAGGCTTAATCGGTGCCCTTCACTATGCTCTAAAAATATGCAAATCCATAACACAACTCAGGAGTAAAGTTCAAACACTCTAAACAACGGCTTAGGTCAATTTATATCCTGCATTATATACTGCAAATAGTAGTCATCCATGAGAATGACCAGAAGCATGACTAGTGAAAATGAATACCAATCTTGAAATATCTATTTAAGCCAAGACTCCGTTAATGAAGTACTATTTCAGAAGTGAATGCATACCAAGTATAATTGTCGATGGCTTCCTGCACATTTCTCTCAAAAACTGCTGGAAGAGACTCTCCGCTTTTTCCAGAAAGACACCTATTTGTGGAACCTCTGGACAGTCCCTTCCTATAAACACAGAAACACACCATTCCATAATATTAAATAAGGTTAACTCGCACGTCCACTGGAGAAAAAAAAAAAAAACAGACAGATGACAAGTCTGTTGAATTTTTCAATCTTATCCATCAACAAAAACATTTGCTTGAAACAAACTACCTTTTTTTAAAATAGTTTTTATTTACTTTACACAAGTATTTTTCAGAAAAATGTACATTTAATTTGAGGCTTATTTTACTCCACAGGCATCCTCCTTCAATTTTGCACTTTAAAATTTGCACGAAGCACACACAAACGCAGCAGCCCCTCACTATTGCAGGAACAGAGCAAAGGCACAAACCAGTAATTGTCCATACAATAGTTATTTAGCTATGTGTTTCTGTTCAATCATTAACATAGAGTTCATTTACTTAGATGTGTTTCTGCATAAAAAGAAGTTACAGATATGGTGCCAAGCAAACAGTGGTCTTTACTAAAACTGTGAACAGTGGTCTTTCCTAAAACTATGAATTCTCAACTTGGCTGTTTTAAGTAAACCGAGATATTAGTACATCGGGAAACATGGGCATATTCTCAACACACTTACAGGCCACAAAGTATCAGTTCTTCCAGTAGCAAAGACTCCTTAACACTATCTTAAAAACCAAGCCACAAACTTTCTAGTATTATGCCTTTCCAGCATCAGAAATGCTAGAGCTTGTCTTTTTTGGTTCTCCAAATACCCGAACACATGCTCAAACTTTAAAACCATCTCTTAGAAACCACACAGATGAATATTAAGATACAGTAAGGCAGAGAAATGCCTGCACTTTTATTGCTAGCCTTAAAAGAATGCCTTTTAATGAAGAGACTTTTTTTCTTTAAACAGAAACTTTTTGTAATCCCACATTTCTATAATCCCACTAAATTCTGTCATTAATATGTAAACCAGTCTCTTCAGAATATGTACAGATGTATCAAAGTGTTCCTCAGACACACTTTTACAGCAAGAGGTTACTTCATCTGTGGAAGTTCCTATTTTCATCCCATAAAACCCTCAGGCCATAACCGCAAATAGCAGCACGATTGCATCAAAGTACATTTGTGAATGAGTAACTGTAAGGAAAGAGCTCACAGCGCAAGAATTTTCTTGATTTCTTTAGCCAAGAACTGTAGATTGGCCCTGCAACAGTTAGGATTGCTCTGCCTTCTTCCTATCCTTTCTGATATTTATCTTGCCTTTACACAGATTACAAAGACACATACACATCACACATCCTACTCCTATGCCTTGGCTAAGAAACCACCAAAAACCTACCACAAGTTTAAACTTCTCATCAGGGAAGACCTTGAACTGCATATTCTTGGAGGCTGGTACAACAGCAGTAGAATGTATCTCTATGTGTTTGCTTTAAATTTCCTCCCTCTTCCCTAGGCATCTGCTTTTGGCCACTGTCAGAAACAACAGGCCCTATGAAAAGTGGTACAGTCCAGTCCCATGAAAACTTCACTTTGTCATAATACCAAGAGCTACCTCCCAGGCAGTAACAGTGAGCTCACAGCCCATCTTCTACATGGAAAGCCAGTTCCTTCTGTTCACGTACATCCCTCTCTGCCATTTCATTTGTCACGTTATTGCCCAGTCAGTCTTATAAGGTCTTCCTCGATATTTTTTCACAGCTGACCCTTGTCCTTAGTAATTTTCCATAGCTTAATATCGCCACCAAGCCTTCTCACTTCACTGCTCACCCCTTTATCTGGTCAACTAGCTTGAACTGCCCATGACAGATCCCTATGAAACACCACTGGAGGAGGAAACCATTTACTGCTACCCTCTGTTTCCTACTGTAGTTATTTGCCCGTGCAAAAACCCTTTCCTCTTGTATTCCAGCTGCTTCATTTACTCGACAGACTTTTGGTAACCTATGCTAACCACACTGATTGGATCTCCTATATCTGTTCGGCTTTCTGACTTCTCAAGGAACCCCAGGCGGGGGTTTTTTGTGGCTTTGAAGGAAACCTGAACCTACAAACATGAAAAAACAGAAATACCACCAATAAAATTTCACGGACTTTCCTCTGTGAAACAAAGCATATGCATTATACTGAATGGCATAATACATGATGTGAGATGGAGCAAAAAAGTGTTTCTGCCGCACCGTTTCGCTGCATGCCATGGTACTACGCCTCCTGGCTCCTTGGACCACATGCCATCAGAAGATGAGCCAGGAAACGATTGCAATAAAATAAAACGAAAGGAAAAACCCCTCCCAGCACATCCATAGCACACTTCCCCAGCGCTGGCAAGGGAACACCAGGGACTGCAGCAGCCAGCTCCCGACTGCTCTCCAGCCCTAACCGAAGTCTCTGCAATTGCAGGCATTCAATGATGACGGTACAAAATCATAACGCTGTCCGCCTACCCCCGCCAGTGCTTCAGCCGCC